ACTTAATTAGGTGGTAACTACAACTGCAGCTGTATTTCCAGATAAAGTGTGCTCACTTTATTGGAGCAAATCAACACCACCCCTTTTTTCAAGTTTGAGACTGTTGATCTCAAAAATACTTTTTATCTCTACTTGTTAGTAAAGGTCACCAGAAATGGTAATATACTTTAGTATCCCTCCATAGGGCTCGATCAACTCTCCAGTTGTCTCTTATAGCCTAGTCCACTGGGAGCTTGTTTGCTTCTCTACTCTGCAGGACATCAAGCAAGTCCACTACACAGAATATATCATGCTGTTGGACCTGGTAAACAGAAAGTAGCAAATACACTAGATATCTTGTTAAGATATATGCATGCCAGAGAATGGAAGAATAAACACCATAAAAATTCGGGGGTGTGTCATATCTGTGAAATTTCTAGGGATCAGTGGTCTGGTGCATGTTGAAATATCATCCAAATGGTGAACATGCTTCTGTATCCGGCACCTGCTACATCCAAAAGGTGGACCTCTGAGTTTTGGCTGCAACAGATATCTGATTTGGGCATCTTACTTCAACCTATTTACCAAATAACCCAACAAGCTGTCAATTTTGGGGCCAGATTGAAAGAACGTTCTGCAACAGAACCAGACTGCCATTCAACCTGTCTTGTGACATGGGTCACATGACTCAGCATGTCTAGTAGTGCTTGAAGACAGGGTGTTATCTGACCCACCAAGCCCTCTGCAGCAGTATTCAGCTGAGTGGAAGTGATAGGTAGGTTTTTCTCCACAAGTTTTGAAGTCACAAATAGGTTGCATGAAAAGTGGCTCAAATTTCCGCGGCTCCTACTCCTGCCACATTGCCTTCTCTCTCTCTCTCTCTCTCTCTCTCTCTCTCTCTCTCTCTCTCTCATGTAATGTTGTTTATCACAGCAGAATGAGGAAGAAAACTTTTGATCTCTGTTCACGGACAATTCCACACACTCTACTGGCACTGTCCGAAGTGGACAGCTGCAGCACTCCAGGAGTGGCCCTGAAGGATAGTGGTGAAGAAAATCTTTCCAATGGGAAGAACTTCAAGCCATGCACCTGATGGTTCATTTTTCCCAGAAGGAGAGATGGATAGATGTACATATCTAAAATGAGTCATGAGCAGTGGCTAACAGCTTGGGTGGATCATCAGCAACTTGGAAGAAACATGGTTGGAAGAAACATGATCTAGAGAAGAGGTATGTGGAAAGACCTCTCAAAATGGGCACAAATATGAGAATATTTTCGTCCCATATAAATGCTCACCAAACACCAACCTTAGAAGAGGAAGATTTTAATAATCATATGCACAAGGTGATCCATTCTTTTATTGCTATAATTGCTCAATTGGCTCACAAAGACAAGGATCATGGAAACAGAGATGGATCTTGTGTGTGGCTCAGCAACATGGATTTCCTCTCACCAACGCCAATTTGGCTACAGCCATTGCCGAGTACTCAACCTGCCAAGAGAAAAGATCATCAGTGAACCCCTGAAATGGCACCATTCCCTGGAGGAACCAGCCAGCCACCTGGTAGTAGGTTGATTACATTGGATCACTTCCATCATTGAAGGAGCAGCTCTTTGTTTTCACTGAAAAAGATGTTTATGCTGGATATAGTTTTCCCTTTCCTACCCTTAATGTTCCTGCTAAAACCACCGTCTGTAGGCCTACAGAATGCCTTACTCACCTTCATGGTATTCCATACAACATTGCTTCTGACAAAGAAACTCATTTTATAGCAAATGAAGTACAACATTGGGCTCATACTTATGGACTTTTCTGGTATCATGTTCGCCTCATCCTGAAACAGCTGGCCTAATAAAATTATGGAATGGCCTTTGGAAGACTCAGTTATGGCACCAGCTGGTGACAGCACTTTATGGGACTGGAATAATGTCTTCCTGGATGTAAGATATACTTTGAATCAACTATAAATATGTAGTGATGTTTCTCCTATATCCAGAATTCAAGAATCTAGGAATCACAGTGTAGATGTGGAACTAGTTCCTCTCATATTAATGCTAATGAATCATTAGCATTAATGATTCATTACCAATATTTTAATTTCCTTTCCCTACAACTTTTGCAGGTTTTTTTGGCTTAGAAATCTACTTCCCAGAGCAAAAATTATTACTCCAGGGGCCAGCCTGGTGGTGTAGCAGTGAAGTTCACACATTCCACTTCAGCAGCCTGGGGTTTGCCAATTTGGATCCCGAGTGCAGACCTATGCACTGCTTAGCAAGCCATGCTGTGGCAGGCACGCCACATATAAAACTTAAGGAAGATGGCACGAATGTTAGCTCAGGGCCAATCTTCCTCAGCAAAAAAAAGCAACAACAAAAAAAGATTACATCAGAGAATACAACATTGTACTGGCTACTTTGGGCACCTCATGTCACTGAAACAACAGGAAAGAGGTCGAGGGAGTATTTCCAGTGTGCAGGAGATTCTCAAGAGCGTCACTTAGTCTTCCCATATTTTTCAGTAAAAGTTAACAGAAAGCTACAGAAACCCAATAAAGTCAAAACTGTAATGGCACAGATGCTTCAGGAATGAAGATTTGGCTCACCCCACCAAGTAAGGAACCACAATCAACTTAGACTCTCGCTTGGGCCAAAGAAAATAAGAAATTAGTAGTGAAAAAGGAAGTTATAAATACCATCTATGATCCCATGACCAGTTGATCAGTTACAAATATGAAGGCGCTAGTAGACGGGAGCATTTATTTCTTCCTTACTTCTAAGTATGTGTGTGTGGGGGGGAGTATGTGTACGTGCACCAACTTTCCCTCTCTCTCATTTCCCTGTTCTAACAGAAGATTTATGAATAGTGGTTAACTATGTCTCCGGATTAAAATTCTAGGATATTCAAAGGGAGAGTTGGCTCTGCTAGAAGAGGAACGAGCAACCCTCGAAGACACATAAGTCACTTTGTGAATCCTCTTTTGGGGAGTCAGTTAGCATGCTTTTATTGTACAAAGGATATTCATATCAATTTTAGGTGAAATGATGAATTTGTGCCTTTATTTAGAGGTAAATATAGTTAATATGGGTGAGTATGAATGCCAAGGTGACAAGTGACTAGGGATGCACTGAGCTGCTGAGCTTGCAGACCAACAGTGGTGGCCGGTCCACCACCACGCGCCCGCTTACAGACTCACAGAGTTAGAAGCCATGCAGAGGCACTAGCTTCCTGTAGACCCCTTGACAACATCCCTTTTGGAACCATTTGAGCGACTGGCCATACTGGCCTTCTCGGATTTCCCGTAAGTTCCCACTTGTTCCCACCTGTCGACCTACGCCAATGCTTTAGGCAGATTAATTAGTGACTCTTTGATCAGCCAATTTCCTTCTTCCTGACTTTCACTTCCCAGCTCCTCCTGTGTTTGTCTTAAGTCGAATTTCTATAACAACTCCCTTATTTCCATGTATACTTAAAGGGACTCTGTTTTCCTAACTGAATCCTGACTGATAAATGTAGCATGAGCACAAAACTGTGGTTTTGCTGCTCATTTACTCCACATAGCCCTTAAAAGAATCCAAATAACATGTACAAAATATGTTATGGAAGTGTGGCTCACCTATGAAATTAATCGCCAAACAAGAAGTCTGGAACTAAAATTGCGTGTTTCTCTGTTAATGCCTGCCCTTGGGGTTCCAAGTCCACCAGAAGTGGATTAAATGCAATTACAGCCCCCTTGTTGAGAGACTGTCACCATATCCTAATACAAAGTAACAAGAGCGAGAGTAGTTTATTTAGCACCCAGGATATAAGCATTACTGTATTACGCAGTTTATTTAAGCTATCTTTTATCTCCATGAACTTTGCAAGTTAGATATTATTATGCTTGTTTTACTGAAAGGAAACAAATGCCCAAGAGTTTAAGTACCCTGCCCAAGTCATACGGCTCAATCCATCCTAAGTCTGCCAGCTCCAAAGCAAGTCCTCCTTCTAGGAAGACATATTGGTGTGTACTTTATGGAAAATATATTAAAGTGTATCTTCAGTGCTCTTCCACACCCTTTCTGAGCCCTCATCTTCTTCCTTATGCCTTGTATACCAACTGACCTCATGCTAACCTCTGCTACTCTGAACCCCTTGTAAAGCGTGCCCTGTGTTCTCTCTCTTCCTTTCTTAGCTACTTCTAAGAGACTAGCATATAGGAAAAGTTCTGATGAGCAAAACTGCAGTGTTTCATTGATAAATAATGGTTGGATGTTTTCACTTTCATGTTCCTAGAATCGAAAGTCACTTATTAATTTATTCAACAAATATTTGTCATGTTTCTGGTTGGCTTTATAAATGATTCAGTCTCAACACTGAAGCAGGAATGAAAATCCCATCAGTCAGGTCTCTGGTTGGTAATTTCTAGATGGTATTTTCAACGAGCAGAAGATACATCATTATACAAGGGCGCCACTCCACTCCTGGACAGTTGCCAACAGCCAAAAAATCCTTCCTTATGTTCCTCTGAATTCTCTCCCCATGTAACTTTTACCTGTTTTTTTTTTTTCCAGGAAGATTAGCCCTGAGCTAACCACTGCCAGTCCTCCTCTTTTTTGCTGAGGAAGCCTGGCCCTGAGCTAACATCCGTGCCGATCTTCCTCTATTCTATATGTGGGACGCCTACCACAGCATGGTGTGCCAAGCAGTGCCATGTCCGCACCCGGGATCCGAACCGGCAAACCGTGGGCTGCTGAGAAGCGGAACGTGCAAACTTAACCGCTACGCCACAGGGCTGGCCCTACCTTTTTCTTTCTTTCTTTCTTTCTTTTGAGGAAGATTAGCCCTGAGCTAACATCTGCTGCCAATCCTCCTCTTTTTGCTGAGGAAGACTGGCCCTGAGCTAACACCTGCGCCCATCTTACTCTACTTTAAATGCGGGACGCCTGCTACAGCATGGTTTGCCAAGCAGTGCCACATCCGGCCCGGGATCCAAACCGGTGAATCCCGGGCTGCTGAAGCGGAACATGCGTACTTGACGGCTGCGCCACCAGGCTGGCCCCATCTTTTACCTTTTTCTATGCCTTCTACACTATACAGAAGAAACCCAATTCATTTTTGACATATGCTAGCTCTTTAAATGTTTTCATTTCTTCTATATCCAAAACTCTTTCTCATAGAACACTACCACCACCATGACAATCACCTCTTAGCATCTTATTCCTCTCTGCTTATATCCCAGGTTTCAGAATCACTCAGTGTATGGCACTCAGAATTGATCACACTACTTTAGCTAATATCTGACCAACTGATATTACAGAATACCTGGTACTATCACCTCCCTCATTCCACGTACTTTCTTCCTATTGATGTAATCTAAATTTCAATTGACTTTTAGAATAGCCATGTTACATGATAATCCCATGGTGAATTTACCAATCAAATAACACTACTTTTTTCTCATAAAAAAAATGTTGTAAATCCTGATCTCTCTTCCTTGTTGTCTATGTGTGCAGATAATTTTTTTTTTAACCCTAAGATCTTGAATGTGATATTGGTTCACCAGAATGAGAGTTAGAGGGTGAGAATCAATCATTTGAAACTGGATTGTGCCATCCAAAACATTACCTGCCATTCTCAGATGTGTGTTGCCCATGAATAAGCTAACAATGAATTTTATACTTTTATTCCTTCATCTACTTGGTTGACAGACGTTTCATAAAAGGTCAAGGTCAGGAATCTAAAACACGTCCCGTTTGACATGGATTTTCTAATCAACATTCTTCAGCATGCTTGCTCAACTTTCTGTATATTTCCTCTAATTGTATTAAGTCATCTAGTCCATTTTTCTGGATTGAACTTGTCTCTAGGATGGATTTTAATAAATATTTGATATTTCAAAGCAGTTTTTTGACACAGATATTTTGATAAGGTCACACTTGTGCATCTATTTTAAAACTATGAACATCTTCATAAAATTACACAATGTGGCCATTTTGACTTGAAAATACTGTGACACAGTCTAAAACAATTTTTAAACATCAGGTTTTTTAAATTAGCACACGTGAGAAACAGACAGCATACTAGTTCTCATCTTTGTTGTCTTGCCTTCCCCTGAATCCCCCATCAGTGGCATGAAGTTTAGAAAGGGGAAATGTTTACGAATTTCTCTCATTTGTATAGTACTCGGTAAGCAAAGACGAAAAACAGAAAAAAGGTGTTTTAATGTTTGGCACAGCTGCTCTGAAGCGTTACATCAAAACAGCTTCAATTTGAGAGGGGACGATGCCAAACAACTAAGGGCCAAGCTCTACAGTGCAGGTATCAGTAACAGGAGTGTTTGGAGACGTGCGGGAGTGGAGGAATGGAACAGAGCAAGAACTTTTCCCACTACCCTTGACCTAAAGGAGGAGCATCTATGCTTAAGAATCAGGCTGCCCTGAGGAAAGCTTCGCCTTCATGAAGCTGGCGGTGCACCTCATCTCATCTCGTGCTTGGCAGAAGGATTCTATTTACAGTGATATATAATAAGGTGCATTATCCCAAGTTTCTCTTGTATTCTGAAGGCTTTTTAACTTCAGAGGTAAGCAACTAAGGAAAATGCATTTAAAAAAGTAAAGAGTTGAATGGATAGGTCACTTCATAAATAGCTTTCTTAGTTCCAAATTCACAATTAGGAATCTCTAGGAGGGCAGGTCTTAAAATCCCCAGAATCTTTTTGTTTCAGCAGAAGTTAAGGAGAAAACCAGTGTATCATTGGACTCACATGCTTTTCAATTGTCCCCTCAACTCTAAGCCATTTTCACAGAAGAGTTAGACGAGAGCTTAGACCAGGATGCCTACACACTGAATCAGACGAATTCCAAAAGACTCTCCCTGGAATTGGGAACGGGCAGTAAGTCTGATCCAGATGCCACAAGGCTGCCAGGGTGACTTCCACACAAGACTCCACGCAAGTGAACAAAAGCCTCCCCTTCGCCCACTTCTTTCACCATAGATGTGAAAGTTGTTTACCTATCAGACAAACAAATGGACTTCCCTAAACACGCTACAAGGAAAGATTTCTCCCTCTTCCTTCCAGTCCCTAATTAGTGGCGTAGGAGTTCAGGCCTCAAGCAGCCTCCATGGGCATAAACCTCAAGATTACACAGGACTCGCTAATGTACCAACATTGCCCAGTGTACCAACGTTGGTTGGTTGGTTGTTTTTGTGCACATAGTAACACAGACTATGAGCAACTGGAGGTGAGATCATGTATGTTACTCACCTCCTTATCCCCTGAGTCTAGCACAGAGCCTGGCACAAAGTAGGTGCTTAGTAAATGGTTGTTGAATAAATGCATTTCTAAGCTGATGCCTTCCTTTTCTCTTTTATTTAATCCAGTCAGTGGAAAGCTATTACTCGAGGACCTATTATGTACCAGATATTATACAAAGTGGTGAATGGACAAACATGAATCCTTCTTCAGAGCTTATAGTCTAATTGAAACTGATGAAGTAACTCCCACTCCTGATGACTGACACTGTTACTGTAACCTTGGGGATAGACAACAGCACTACTAAGGCTCAGTTTCCTCACATTCAATTTAATGGTTGGACAAAATTATTCTGTCTTATTCTATAAGATTATTTAAGTTCTAAACTTATTGTAAAGGGTATGAAATGTATAAAGCATTATGTAAGGTAAGTTTTAAGATTTTAAAATTATTTCCTAAAATTTGAATACTGCCCCAAATGGATGTTCTCCCCAGTTCAGAAGCAATTCAGTCTCGCACATGGATACGTGCACACATCATTAGATAAACCACATAAAGAATCTGGCAACTCTAGCATTGCTGGATTTTTAAACCAGATCTCTATTGTATAATGTAACTTCCTTGAGAGTAAAACATTTTACAATTGGTATCCTCTATAGGATCTAGCACTTTTCAAGACAAATAGCACTCAATAAATGAATTAATCCAATGGAAACAAATTAAGAATCACCAAGGATTCTAACCTGAATGGCGAATGGCACTTGGGAGATTCAAGAACTCTGTGAACTTGTACACAAAGCTGTGTGTCTGTATGCCATGTGGTAGAGTTCTTTTGTTTTATAAGAGTCTCAAAGAGCTCTATTATCCAAAATGGTTTCTTCACTCAGTATGTATTAATCGAATGTCCACTACTTGCCAGGCATCGTAGCAGGGTTTGGGCTTAGAATCTAAAATGTTTCTATAAATAATGAATATTGATTGCATCAAATCTGTACAAGATCTGCTTTCTCAGATTCATGCCATTAAAAATAATGCATCTCTATTAAACATATTTACATCCTACATCAGTGTTAGATACTATGCAGCCATTTAATATGACATTTGCTGGTAAAATACGCTTTAGAAACACATTCTTATTTGGCTTCATAGAAAAACCTTCATGATGACAGAACTGATAGGGCTTGAGTGCATAATACACATATATATATGCATATATACACACACATATATATAATTTAAGAAATCTTTAGTGGATCATGCTGCTCAAATTGTTTAAACCATCTCTAATTCATCAACTCTCTTACACCACAGCTGGCTTTCCATTTATTCCTAACAATAACAACAAAGTTACTGTCCTTAAAAAAACGATGACATACAAAGAAAACTTCATAAAATTGTTTTGTAAGCAGTTTTCTCAGGGACTTTCCACTGACTGAAATAAATAGCTTTCAAATGCTCCAGATGGAGAACAAAAAGTATTTTTAAAAAACTCAAGAAAACCTCTACAATTTAATGACAATTTTTCCCCTTTGGAAATCTCCTCTCTCTCCTCAATGCATTAAGTATCATCTATCTAGAGTCGATCAATATTTATCCGAGCAGCTATTTAAATTTCCTAAATAAAATTCTTTCTACCCTTGAGAATGGCTGCCATATTCCTGTCACAAACATATGCAAAGAGGTATTTCCGCAGATACAGGCATAAGCATACTTAAAGATTAAAATCGTCGTCCACAGTAGATCTTCACTCTATAACATGAAAATTTCTACATAGCATGATCCAAAATGACCATTTCAAAAAATGGTTAGCTTATACTATTAGGAAATCATTCGTTTTTAATTCCTATACGCTACCAGAACTTAGTTGTAATTAGTGATAGTGGCCAGGAGAGGGCGCAGTCTCATTTCCTAAGATACTCCATAGGCCTTTGTGAAATTCACAATGTTCACTTTTTAAAGAGAAATATTTTATTATAACGGCACTTATCACAAATGGCAGATATGAATGAAAAACAAGACATTCAGAACAAAATAAGGAATTTAAACTTCTCAAGTTTTACTTATTACTAATCACTTATATGCAAATAAAATATTTTAAAATACTTCGAATAACTTTCCTGTGTACAAGGAACAGAAGGAAAGAAAAAGTTTAAAGTAATAGTGATTTAGAATTATCTCAATTTTTAAATTCCTCCTTTTGGTTCATTTTATATAATGCTGGACTGCTTTACACTTACAAATGTATTTTACAACTATAAACCCTACTTTTCAATAAAATAAAAACAAGTATAGTTTTAAAATAGGGATTTGACAACTGATATTTTAGGGAGAAAATTCATTAGTTTAAGGTAAAAATATTTCCTGAAATGGCTTTATTCAAGGCACATATAATGTTTAAATGCTTCTTTCACTTAATAAATGCTCAAGAAGAGTCTTTAGATCTCAAGTCTACTATATTGCTGTAAAAAAAAAAAAAGGATAGCATTTTTAAGGCCTGGTGATCCATTCACAGACACAGTGAACACATTAATAGAAGTGGGTGTGAGGGCTGTCCTGCATGCTTCTAGAATTACTCCAGAAAGGGAGATCAGGCCGATGTATTACAGGTTGTCGTGATTCAGCCTTGAATACAGTCTGCCACCAGTTACGGAGTCTTTGCTGGGAAGGTAGGAAGACTCTCTAAGCATCCCTGAAAAGGCATAATCCAAAGCTGGCCGAAAAGGCAATGCTGGGACCAACCCAGGAGTTAGGTAGGGAGACATGAAACCAGGCAGCCCTCTTCCTGGAGAGGAATACGCCAGCCGTAATGGACTGATACCTAGTCTAGGATTTAAGCTGTAGAGGCTTGAGTCACCTCCAAAAGAAGTAGAAGTAGTTTGAAGAGGGGAGAAAGCTGATTTATTTCCTAGAGTTCCAAAACCAATTCCAGCTAAATTAAAACTCGAAGCTTTCTGAAAAGCTGTATTTTCCAATTCTCCTGAGCTTGCCAGGTCCCTGGTGTCTGCTTTGTGTTCTTTCCCATTGAGGACCTGTTCAATGGCTTGGACCACATCCCCCTTGCAGAACTGTAGAATGACTTCCAGCCGGCTGCGTCTGTAACTTGGGAAAATCTTGGTAAGGATATCAAGAGGGTCTCTTGGTCTTGAGGACACTGTGGGAAGCCAGGCTCTGGTAGCAGTGAAGTCTTTGGCCCACTCACTTTCATTTCCTGATTCCAGATCAGAGGACGACAAGGACCCCGGGCTCTCTTCACCTCCTGATTGCTCCCCGCGGTGAGGAGACTGGATGTTATCATCCTTGCTTGAGTTTCCTGGAATAGCTGACTTGACGTTTTGTTTTCCAATGACACCATTCGACTTAGGAGATGATCCCAGGGTAAGTCGGTGCGATCTGGAGACCGGTTCTTCTTGTCCACTCTGGCATGAGTCACATTTACTCTCTTTTTGTTCTGGGGAAGAGAAAGAAGAGGAATCAAATAAAAAGAAAACTTCCCAGAACGTAGTACTGCCCACTCCAAAATCGTGCTGGATAAAATCATTCATTCATTCATAGTATATTATAATACTCATTCCTGTCTAAGAGGTTTTAATGAGTAAGAATTTTTGAAGATCACTCAGAAATGCAACTGTTGGAATAGTGGAGAAATGGTATTTATTATGTCACTTCAAGATCACAAAATTATACAATGTACAGATGTTGCAGTGACTTAGGAATCAGAAGACGAAAGTCTGTTGTTACCTCAAACTGTTAACGTAACACCAGTCCCTCACACCACTTGCCCCACTGGGTGAATTGAGATTTTCCTAAATGTTACTCAAGTCTTGCTGTTATCCAATGAGAATTTTTTTTTTTCACAATGACACTATGCAAAAAGAACTGAATAAAATGATTGTTTAGATAAAAAGCCAAAAGAAAACAATCTTAGTATGAAGACCAACATTCTATTTAATCGCTACTGCTAAATTTCAACAAATTGTTTTTTTAATGACCACATTTTGGGTTCCAATTAAGTTACCTGAATAATGTGAAAAATAACAAAATTTTTCATTTCATTTCAAATCTAAACCAATAATGACCACTGCTATACCAATCTCAAATGACACCAGAATTCGCATGCATATTTCATTTTATGTGAGAGACGATACGGAATTGGTATTTTTTCACAATCCTCTGTGAAATGTGTACTTTCTTTTTCGATCCCTAGGAGATATCAAGAAAAGAGTTTACAGTCAAATTGTTTCTAAAAGAAAAGTATAAACTGCACTATTGCAATCCACATGTGTCTTCAGAGTGTCTTGTGAAAACAACACATTAGTCATTTGCTTTAAATCACAACTCCCTTCCAATATTAAGAAAATTTTCCAAAAATACTTTTACTCAAAAATCTGATTTTCTAGCTCAACATGTTGAGCATGTGAATATTAATAAAACAAAAATATCTTTAATACTCTTTTGTAAGGCTAATGCCGGGAAAATGATAATTTATACACTGACTAAATCATTTTTATTTTGGTTTACATTTCCTTTTATCTCTATTTCCATTAGAAAGACTAAACTGTCAACTGGAGTACTCAGACTATTTCTTTCAAACTTTCTTTTTCTACAAAGTTTATGAATGCAACAAAACAAATATCGCGTCCAGCAGGGATACGCAAACATGATCTGTAATACTCCCACGTTTTCTCAAGGAGCGGTTCTCAATTCTAAAGAAATATCTATAGTCTATCTTAAAACTTAAGTAAGTGTGTGCAACTTAAAACTTTGAGGGTTAAAATGCTGTCATTATATAAACATATGACAAAAGAAAAGATGTTGCTCCTGCAAAACTAGCAAGACTCGCTAGTATTTTCAACTTGAAATAGAACTTTTCTAATGAAGTCTGCCAAGGGAAATAGATCCACCATTCCATTTTATTTATAAATACGATTCATTAAATATGTCCCCTGAACATGTAAGGTGTCAAAAGTCCATGTTACAGCAATTTGTGCATAAGATAATCTTTTGGTATTACATTGTATTCATGGAGGACAATATAATATAATAAAATACTCATTGCATAAAACTACCTAGAAAACAAGGTGTCCTTAAAATACTGTAATATCATTTACAAAATGCTTTGATATTATCTCTGTTCGCTCAACTCCCATAGCTGGGTTCACTTTACTTTTATCGCTGCATATTATGTCTTGCACTGTAGTTTTTGGATACATACAATTTTCTTTCCTTTGAATATAAGTCTCTTTTGTATCAGAAAATCTTACTCACCTCTGAATCACTGTTAGTCTTTGTCTAATGACTGAGTAAATTAAATAGACTACTCTACTACAGTTGATGGATATTGTGTAAGAGGAGGCAGTCAGCTGAGAAAAGCCAGGGAAGTAGCTTTTCAAAAAAGGAAGTCAACTGAAGCAAAGAGTAAAGTAAAATAATTGTCCCTGTAAACAGAACACTTTGGTAACCCCCTATCCCCAAAAAATCACATAATCATTGTTTAGCAGAGAGATTTCAGCGAGATCTCCCTGTCAATTTAGTTTATGGAATTTTAACTTTTTCTTTTTTATAGTAGTTTTGCTTAATAACTTTGTTCTTCCGCCCTCTTTGATTTTTCATGAGAAATATTTAAAGTCTGTTTTGCCCACTGAAATAAACTAAAACATAGGCAAAAAGTTGGTGTAGGCGAACACCAAATCATATATGCCTTATTTAAATACAGGGATAGTCTTTTTGCAAAGTACATCCTGGGATCTGTTAAGATCTGCAATTTTCATGATTCAAGAGAGTTTTAGTAACTTACTGTATCATTATCATATAATTTCATGTGATACAACCTGTCTTGGATGTATCCAAAAACACTGAGATGACATTTTCGCGGCTACTGTGACCTGTGGAGGACTATGAAATTCACTAAAATAAGTGAGATTTACATTAGCAGGGAAAGCTAATTTGGGATAACCCCAGTCAAAAAAATATATATCTTTTTTTTGCCTAACACATGGCATGAAGGTGATTTGCACTCAATAAATACTAAAAAAGAAACCTTAAAAATCGTCGGACAAGAAATCTCTAATACCAGACTTTGAAACTCTTACCAATGGCTTTACAAAGCTGGAAAACCTAAGTTTCTTTCTTATTGGAAGAGTTGAAACTTCAAATATTAGAGCTTTTGACATTTTGGAGGCTGACAGCTCCGGGAGGGGGTGGAAGGCTGGAAAATTTTAAGGGAAAGAGTAAAAAGCGCTTTGGTAGATTTCTGTCTCTTCCCCACTTCCAGCTGGCGCCAAAGGTTTGCCCTGAAGGTAAAGAGCTGTCCTGCCAACCACCAGTGAGTTTCCCACGCCAGATCAGAAGATCGACTCTGGTTTTACAGCTGAAAAGAGTACAGAGTAAGCTCCAAACGCAGCTTCTCTCACGAAGCTTTTCACTCAAGGCCCGCTTGAAGCTCTTCTCAAAGTCACAGCATCTTGGACGCAAACTCCATTCCTAGCACGACTTGCTCATCTGATCACTCACGCTTCACTTTTTCATGATCTTATCCTATCACCAAAGGAAGAGAAAGCCCTTCCGAACTGAACGCGAGGGGTCTCTAACACCCCCATTTACGTCTATATTGCAGAAAAGTTTCCCAGAACTTCACTATTAAACAACTTTTCTTGCCCGCCTCCAGGGTACAGCTGAGTGTTTCACAGTTTTGCTTCAGAGCAACCATTTTTCTTGTGCAAAAAGCAAATGAAAGATCGACTCACCTTGTTTTTCCTCTGTGTAATCTGGCTGGAAAACCTCGAACGCAGGGGTCGCCAGCCCACTAGCCTGTCTCAAGGCCCCCAGTCCCATCGCAGTCACCGCCGGGGGGCCTCTCGCGCCCTGGGGATTCTCGGTTCTGCCGCCGCCTCCGGCTGTCCGAGCCCCCGTCCCCGAGGGTCCAGGGTACAGGAGCCTCTGCAGCCCCCGGGCCTCGCTCTCCTCCTGGGCCTGCTGCCTGCGCAGCGCCACCTGGGCGGCCATGACGCGCTGGCGCTCGGCGATCAGGGTGCACTTGGCACACGCGCAGTCCCGCCAGCGGCAGAAGCGCTTGTGGCCCTTGAGCGCAGACACGACGCCGTGGTTGCGACAACGGGCGCACTTGGGTGTCCGCGGGTAGCCGCAGCCCACCGCGCCCACCCCCCTCTCCAGCCCGGGAGCCGGCGGGCAGCCTCCGTTTCCCGAGGCGGCGGCGGCGGCTGCCCGCAGGAAGAGGCTGGGCGGCCGCAGGAAAGTTGGGGGCACCGGTAGCCCCGGGGGCACCGGCATCGCCGGGGACAGGGGCGCGGGGGCCGCCGCCGCCAGCCCGGGGGCCAGGTGGGGTCGGCCGCTGCCGCTGCGGTCTCTGCTGCCACACTGTGCCTGCTCCATTCCCGAGGAGAGTCTGGCGACCGGGACGCGACAGGAAGGTGCGCTGTCCACTGCTACCCCGGCCGCGATGCGGGAGGCTGGGGGACGCGCCGCCGTCCCGCTGCCTGCCACCCACACGCGGACAAAGTTTGACACAATTCCCGCCGCGGGCTGGGGACGACCGATTCCGGGAGCTGGAGATGCGAAGAGGCGCGGAAGCCCAGTGAGCCTCTTATTAGAGTCCCGGGGCGCTGAGTTAATGCCCCTGTGCTCAGCGCGCCCTCTGAGTCGGAGAAGGCGAGGCTGGAGAGGCTACCCCGCCCACCGGGTCTCCTGGCCAAGCCCTGAAGCCGGGGAGGGAGGGCCGGGGACCGAGAGCGGCGCCCGTCTGGGAGGAGGGACGGTGGGAGACACAAAAAGCTGTCCTGATGGGCTGCAAGTGTTCCCTCCCCAAGACGCCCTTTTCCCCCTCTTGCTTTCCCATGAATTCTTAAACGGACATTTTTGTAAACAATCTTCACGTCCTCTCCCGCACCTCTTACTGCCCTTCTTAAAGTAAGCAAGATTTGAAAGTCTCTGTTCCCCAGTTCCACGCTTCTCCTAAGCAAGTTTGAAGATTTGGATTTGGAGTTCTCCTTTTCTATCCTTTTCCCAGATGAAGTCTTCGGGAAGGTAGCATGGCCAGTTTAATGAGAATGCAGAGCTTGACAGGCCGCAAATGCTACCCACCTGAAAGAGGCCTTATTTTAAATGTCTTAGAGCTTGGTCAAAACAATGGATAAATAATTAAGGGAATTGATTAACGTTCAGATTTTTCTCGTGCATGCTGTTTACTTACACATGCAAATTTGGATTCTATGCATTATTATATTTTGAAATGCAACCCCCCACAGAAGTATTTACGAATTTCTTATCTGAAACTATTTATAGGCAGCAATTGGGTTAAAGCTGTTTCCAAAATACCACTTTACATTTCTATTGTACAGTATTGGGGAAGGTCATTTAGACCATTCTTTAAACATGATATAAAATGCAGTCTTGAAATACACATTTAATGCCTTTCATTGTAAAAGGAGATCATATTGCTTTTAAACGAAAAGAGCATTTGAAGCAGAAAATTCATGAGCGTTGGTTCTTAAATGGAAAAGAGAGTCAGGGCTCTGTCAGTTCTTCAAGATAATATTCAATTGCCTTGACAGGCAATTCATATTCTAGCCCTAAGATGGCGAATAATAATGATATTTTTACCACTCCACCTACTGACCTCCTGGGCAGACACTGCTAATCAATCGGGGTTTTCTCCAGCCCCACTGACTTCACACCATCACCACCATCACCTTCCTATATCAACATCCTGACATCCTATCATAGAGGTTTTCCACCTTCCTAAGCATTATAACTACCTAAGGAACTTTTAAAAGATATAGATACTCCAATTTGAGTATTTTGATTCTTTTGGTCTGAGTCTTTTAAACTCTCAAGGTAATGACTATACACACCCAAGGTTTAGAACTACCGCACTAGAAATTCCTAACCTCTGTGGATTCTATAATACCCAAACTTTCCCACTCTGCTGTCTTTGCTTAAGCCACTCCTGCCTAAAGTCTAGTTATTCCCTAATCTTGGAACTTATATCCAAAGTATGAGAAATGAGTTTTTAGTGCTAGAAGGGTCGTTAAAGTACAATGAATTACCTAGTGAGAAAACAATTCCCTTTTTCTGTTTATTTTTAAGACCTGGATACATAAAGGAAAATACTCAGCTTAGTGTAAGCATGTCTTTAGAATTTTCTAAGACTTGTTAATTATGCTTTTTAACACTAAAAAAAAAGAGAATCATCAAGTAACAGGGTTTACCTGGAATTTAACACTATTTTTGTGTTTTTATTTGATTATCAAAGTTACCTTCCAATTATGGCAAGTGATATCGGTTTTCATCTGAGGAAGTGAAAATAATTTTTAAGTAAGTGTCTTTAAATAAAATGTGTGTATTTAAATGAAAAATGATAAAATGTGTGAAAGATTGAAGACTAATAAACTTTGCTGACAAAAATTAAAGAAGATTTAAATAAACGGAGAGATATATCATGTCCGTGGGTCAGAAGACTCAACATTGTTAAGACAATTCTACCTAAATTGATCTATACATCAATTCCATCTCAATCAAAATTCCAGCAGATATTTTTGGTAGAAATTGTCAAACCTATTCTAAAATACATATGGAAACGCAAAGGAAGGCCCTAAAATAGCCAAAACATCTTTGAAAGAAGGATAAAGTTGCAAGGCTAACGATATATTACTTAAGAATTATTATAAAGTTACAGTAATCAAAACAATGTGAAAAGATAGAAAAATACTCCACCAGTGTGACAAAAGAGAGACTTTAGAAACAGACTCACCTGTAAATAAACTAATTTTAGACAAGGTGCAAAGCAATTCAGTGGAGAAAGAATAGTTTTTCCCCAACAGATTTTGTCAGGACAACTGGACATCTGTGTGCAAAAAAAAAAAAAATTTAACTTTGATCCCTACCTCACACCACTTACAAAAATGGACTCAAAATAGATCACAGGCCTAAATGTAAGTCATAAAACCATATTACATAGGAGAACACCTTTGTGACCTTGAGTGATGCAAAGATTTCTTAAACAACCAAAGCATGATCCATAAAAGAGCAAACTAATAAATTGTATTTCATCACAATTAAAGACTTCTTCAAAAGACAATGTTAAGAGACTGAAAAGTCATATCATTGACGGACAGAAAACAGTTGTAATACATATATCTGATAAAGGGCTTGTATACATAATATATAAAGAGATTTCAAAACTCAGTAAGAAAAAAATTCAATTTTTTTTAACAATTTGGTGTTTTTTTATTTCAAAGATTGGCCCTACGCTAACATCTGTTGCCAGTCTTTTTTTTCTTCTTCTCCCCAAAGTGCCCCATAGTTGGATACTCTAGTTGGAGGTCCTTCTGGTTGTGCTATGTGGGATGCCATCCCAGCATGGCTTGATGAGCGGTGCTAGCTCTGCACCCAGGACCCAAACCTGAGAAACCCTGGGCTGCTGAAGCAGAGCATGCCAACTTAACAACTTGGCCACAGGGCCAGCTCCCAAATTTTCGTTTTTTTAATGAGCAAAAGATTTGAACAAACTTGTCGCCAGGGAAGATAAATGGATGGCAAATAAGCACAAGAAAAGATGCTGAACATCATTAGTCACTAGGGAAATGCAAATTAAACTTGCCAAGAAATACCACTACACAGCTATTAAAACGGCTAAAATTTAAAAGACTGACTATATCAAATATGGCGAGAATGTGGAGCAGCCAGGACTCTACCACACTGCTGGTGGAAATGTAAACTAGTACAACCACTTTGGAAACCAGTTGATAGTTTCTTAGAATGTCGAACATATACATACCATATGATCCAACATTCTGCTCCTAGGTATCAACCCAGGAGAAATAAAGAAAATGTCCATACAAAGATACAAAATTTCACAGTAGCTTTATTCATATAGGGGCTAACTGGAAAAACCCAAATGTCCATGAACATTTGGTATAACCATATAATGGAATACTACTTAGCAACAAACAAAAGCTCTCTGACACATGCTACAACATGATTGAATATAAAAATCATTATTTTGTGAGAAATAAACAAGACAAGGCTGTGTGATGTAATTTATATAAAATCCTAGGAATCTATGGTGACAGAAAGCACATGAGCGGTTCCTAGGAACAGGTTGTTGGAGGGGCAGAAAAGATGGGCAGGAGAGATACAAAGGATCAAAAGAAAACTTTTGGAGATGATGAATATGTTAATTATTTTAATTGTAGCAATGATTTCACTTGTGTATACATATGTCAAAACTTATCAAATTGTGTGCATTAAATATGTGCAGTTTATTGCATGTCCACTGTGCTCTGTTAAAGCTGTTGTGAAAAATAAAACTCCTTGTTACCTCTGGAAGAAGGAAGGCATGGAATAACATGAAAGCATTTTGAGCAATGATAATCCTAATCTTAGCATCCAAAACTGGAGCAACGATTTTAAACACTTGTATTTCTTCTCAAATACACTGGAAAGCCTGAATCTTTTCCCTTCTCCTAATAGTACTACATGTTCTCTTTTTCTCACATTACGTATACTTTTCTTCCTTTTTTGCTCCATCTAACAGCAATTGAGTACTGTGACTCTTCTTATAAGTCAATGAGAAGGTGTTAACAGCTGCAATTTAGTAGTGGCAACAGTTGCATCAAATGAAAACGTGATGGAAAAGAAGAAACATGTTTTTAATTAAACTGTGTGCAAGTATCACAAATATATCATTTACAAATCCATTAAAAAAAAAGACTGGTCTGATAAATGAAAAATGTAGAGGCATAGCAAAAGGAAGGAAAGGAAGCTAATAAATAGAATTTCTCCCAAGCTCAAAAACGTTTATGCACCTTCTTTTTAAATTAGTATTCATTTCCGCTCCAATTCCGTGTTTACCCTAAACACTTAGAGTTAAGTGCCGCTTTTTGTTGGCTCGCTGTCCCGACTGTTCAGCATAGAGGAGTGGAGTGTGAATCAGCAGTTGTAAATGTAGGCCTGGCTCTGATCATAGCCAAGCTATTAGATCTTGGGCAAGACATTTATCCTCTCAGCTTCACTTTTCCCACTGGCAATTGTAAAGTCATCTCCAAGAATCCTTCCAAGTCTGTGGTCCATTTCGTTTGCCGAATCTAGTCTGAAGTTATTTTTCATTAGCGTTCTTGGTCTCTAACAAACCTCATTACTGCCACCCTAAGGCCTAAGTCAACACATCTCTCCTGCTGGTAGAATATCCTGCGCTAACCTGCTGGAAAAGGAAATTTAAAGTGTGTATGCTTAGCTTGGCTGGAAGATTCTGGAAAGAGGACTGGGGGTTTGGAAGGAAAGGCTGTCAACTGCCTATTCTTTCATGCATAAACACGCACAATTCACTCCACAGCTTTGGAATATGTGTGAGCTCACCTTTTCTAGTCTACCTACTGCAAGGCTTCCCAGAGCCATACTGCGGATGCTAATGTCATGTTTTGTCAGCTTTGAGGGGACATTTCAACTGCACTTCTCTTTCCCTGGGGTTCTTCAAAAGGCGATAGGGCGTTATCATGATTGAGAAGTCACAGTCTGCAGAGCGACAGAAATTTCACCCCTTGGACTGTGGCTCGTCAAACAGCCAGGCATCCCAGGTCTGGGAAGAAACACGCCTCCTTTGGCACATACCTTTCCTGGGGTGTTGTTGGGGGAAGGATGGACATGTTTGTTACTATGTATAATTGGCCAAGAAACGTCACTCCCCAAAAACC